GGCGAAGGAAAGAAAGGCAGAAAAGAAAACGGGAACAAAGCTTATCCGCAACACTTCGACGGAAAAGGCAAAGGCGAAAAAGACAAGGGCAAATCCAAACCGCCGAAGAGAGGAGCAACCTGCTCTCTCAAAGAATTCACCGGATGGAACGAGGGTGGCTGGTAGCCTAGTCAGATTTCCAGCACAGGACATGCGACGATGGCCAGTCATGCTTTCAACGTGAGGGCAATGAAACCGTCGATAAGAAGCTGATCTACGACGATGCGGTTTCTCCTCGCAACCTCTCACCGACGACCAGGCGCAGCCGGAAGATGGCCTCGACTTTTGAAATTCCTCGACAACAGGCGCACCAGGTCAATGGGAGGCTGGCGCGCAATCCAGCGATTACGCAGGCCACCGATCCAATGAAGAACCTCATCTCCAATGAGCACATTCCGGCAGATACCAGGTTCACCTGTGCCAACGGCCAACTGGGCCTTGCGCCTCAAGTATCCACCGGCAAGCACCAACAGCGACACCCTAGAACAACGTACCGCACCGACACTCCTCGGTGTTGGTCAGGTGAGGAACATGCACATGACGACTGAGCACTCCTCAGTGTGACAAGATCAACATGTGAAGCCCTGGCTGAAGAACCACAAAGAAGTTGCTTCGAAGGGCCTCGATCACGTCCGTGATGACGACGAAAGCAGCGAGTTCCCCCCTGTCAGAACCTAAAACATCCGAAGTTGCATGTGCGTCCAAGTCATCAGTGAAAAAGGATACCGCAACTCTCAAGAGCATCTGATCAGTGAAGCAGGACCTTTGGGTTCTTGATGATCACATCACGCCGCGATCGAGATAAGATCCGCCGTCAACATACCACGCGATTGATAGATGCAACGAAAGGTGGAGAACCAGATGTGCTTGAAGACAACTGGAGGCTGACCTCACGGGCAAACCGAGCAATGTAAACCTGTGGATAGGCAAGTCCATCTTCACGCTTGCAGACAATTCGCTAGAGGATGAAGAAGCCACCTCAGGATCAGCAACAAACAGGATACTCGGCAACTGAGGCAGATCTCCTGCAGCTTGCCTTAGGCAGAACCCACGCGACTGTCACAGCAACATGAGTTGAAGAAGCTTCACCTCCAGCATCATCACATGAATGCCAACCTATTTCGATTTCGAACTCGGGCGCTTCACCTACCAAAATCAATCTACGCCCTCTTCAAGAAGGTCCGCAGTAGTGAAGTTTGTCAAGCAACTAAGCAAGCACCATCAAGAAGTAGAACGAGCAAGCCTCGATCATATTCATCGCTGCCCAGTTTCCTTGGAACCGGAGAGCAAATCATCCTGCTTGTCATTCGGGATGGAACAACAACATTGCTCACTGCGGAGGCGGTGAACGGAACAAGAAGTGGACAACATACCGCTTGCAGTCGTCGGATCCAGGCCTTCATGACGAACACGTGGGAACACTTTTATCGCCCCTCGACATCGCGGCCGAATCGAGCGAAAACAGCTGTGCGACTTTTCATGGTGCAGCTCAAGATCATGCTGAATTCCACGAGGGCAGGAACAGCCCTACGGGGGTGTAACACTATTGGGGTTAGCATTTGGAAGACGACTTGCAGACCTCATTCAAGTCGATTTTGCGACGCCCCAACTCACCATCAACAACATGAATGAGGTTTTGACAACATTTCAGGTCAAGCAGCTGAAGAAGAAGCCAGCCAGTTGCAAGACATCACAAGACAGAATGAGCCGCAAGACTCTTCAGGCAGGAGACAAGGTGTTTTATTGGCAAGAAGCCAAAACTTGCTCCGATGGAAGCAAAGGAGGCAAAGTTGAAAGGACAAGTCATCCGCTTAGAATGATCAATGGTAGGTCTTGATCTAGGAACTCAACTCATCAAGGTAAACATGACCAAGGTAACTACACCTCGGAAACCAGGAACTCTAAGTGCCAGATGAGAAGGAAGCCTTGCGGAAAGAGCAATGAGGCTCCTCAGCCGTTTCAAGAAGAAAAAGACATCAATGCTAGTTCTGAAACCATCAGCCTCCCGACCATTGGGGACAACCCCGTAGCCCGCAGTGAAGCCATCTTCCAAGAACATGTTTGTGGAAGACCTCTCTTCCATTTCGCAACAGCACATTGGAACTGTGTCAGAAAAGGAAAAAGCAATTTTCTTGAAATCTTTGCAGGAAGTGCAAGATTCAGGCAGCGCTCGCTTACAGGATTCAAAGTTGGAACTTGCGTAGACAGAAATGAATTTGATGTCATGACTGACCCTCAAAGGACGACGCATTCATGGAGATCATCCAGGAACAGCGCCGGATGTCATCCTCACTGCACCGGTGCGTGGATCATGGTCGAATATGCACGACATCCAACAAAACCAACAGGCCTGAGAAAAGCGCAAACGCTACATCCCAATGGTTGAGTTAAGGGCGTCAATTGCAAGATATCTTAGGGCTCGCCTCTATCAATAAACTGCATCCCTTCTTTACGCGGGAGGGCGGGGGCCGCACAGGCTTGCCGACTCTGGGGAATTGGTGGTACATTGTGGATGCATTTGGGGGAAATTGGTCGGGTGTAAATTTGTGGGAAAGTGACCCATTTTCTGTAATTTACCACAACTTGAAGGATTTTACCCCCAATTTTGTTGGCAATTTACCACCAATTTGGAAGGTAGTTGACTCCCAATGTTGTGGTGGAGTTACCACCAGTTTTTGGGGTGTCATTTGCCACAAATTTTGAGGACATTGGGGGTAAATAATGGGTCCAAAAATGGGAAGTACATCTTGGGAAACCTAGGATTTGCCAAAAAATTGGGCTTGTTATTGATCTCCAATTTCAGTGAAAATTGTGGGTAAATAAACACCAAAATTGGTGGTAAACTTGGGGGGTAAATTGTCCACAAAATTGGGGGCAACGTACCAAAAAATGTGTGAATTGCCGGCAAAATTTGTTGCAAATTGCTGAAAAGAGAGGGAAACACAGTTTTCACAACAAGGCACCTTAGAAGAACCGATCCCGTTCGTGACTGCGACTTCTTTTGGGGCAAAGTGCGCGCGCAGAGGCGCGCCCTTTTCAAAATTGGTGGTGTTCAGGCGGCCCTCAAGACCTTGAGTGAGAGCGTGCAAAGACGCATCCCAAATCACTCCCAATTGACCAAAGTTCCCTCAAATTTACCCTCGGTATACACCCAAGTTCTCCTCAGTTTATTCACAATTTACCACGGTGAACTTTCCCAAGAATTAGGAATAAATGTTGCCGAGTCGGCATTGATAGGGGCAAGGCCTCATTTTTGGTTGGTTTAGTTGTTCAATCAGTTGTCTTAACCAGTTCAACCAATTTTTCGTATTCTTACTAGTCGTTGTAAGCCTTTCATTAAACCGTTGATGGAAAATGGTAGAAACTACTCTTTCTGTACTACTTCTCGTGATGCGACGTACAGTTTTCCGTGTTTCGCTATCATCGTTATCCGACGGACTAACATTTCTGCCAACACGAGGACCGCCTGCGGTTCGCCAGACCGCGCGCGGCTCTAGCCGCCTTTGCTTCGTGGCTCTGCGCAAGGTGAACACACCTAGCCGAGGCCTCCCTGCTGCGCGCATAACCACAAGGGAGGCCCCATTGAGCCAAATGGTAAAGCGTGAAATGACGATTTCATGCGGTGACACACTGTCAACTTGCAACTGCACAGTCAACCTCTGGGTCATAAATGTCATCGTGATTATTGACTCCCCCCTCATTGTTGGCACTGGGTGGGTTGCTTGGGCGCATTATCACGCCGACTTGTAGTCAAGTTTGCACCACTAAGACTGCTGCAAGGTATTCAAGCAACAACTGGGAATTTTCACATTTTGCATGAGTCTCATGCGGCTGCTTTAGCGCGTACCTTTTCACGCACATCTTCAAGCTTAACAGGGAGATCAAC